AAAAACTGTCTTGGCATCTAATGGTCTTAGTTGTCTTAGTAATGTTGATTCTAGTACTGATTTTGGTACATCTCATAATGCTGCTTTGTATTTTCATCTTTCTTCTAATATATCTGTATTAAATATTTCTGATGTAATTCTGCACATTGATCCTCTTTTAAAATGTACTGACCAGCTTGTTGCTAGAGGATCTATTTTTTTGGTTCTAGCCAGTAATCTGTACTACTGCTGCCTTGGTTTGTTTCAATACTTTCTATTCAAGTATTTTTGCTTTTTTATAAAAACTTAAGCATCTTAGTACTCTTTCATATTTTGTGTCTTTAGATAAGTCTTACAAAGTTAGTATTGTTGTTAAATTGTTCTTTTCTAGTAACTGATAATCTTGTTTTAATACTTGTTTTTGTATTTTTTTATAAAAAGTAGGTTTTTTTCTAATCCTTGTAGCTTATACTAAGCTGTAAATATTTTTAAGAGCCCATTTTGATGTATAAATATCTTTAAGTCTTTTTTTTTCTGGTTCTTTTCTTTCTTCTATGTTCTGACCTTGCTTTATTCTATGATTGTATCTTAAAAGCATTAATTTTTTTGATTCTTCTGTTTTTGAGTCATGTATGCCACATTCTGTCATTAGTAAAGACAATTTGTTTATTGTCTTATCATCTTTTGAGTTTACAAGAATTTCTTTTTTATTTTTGTGTTTAGTATTGCTTCTGCTTGCTTGTTGAATTTGTCATCTTTTTTTTTACTTATTAATTCTATTTCAGCTTTTGAATGCCTTTGCTTGAGGCTGTTTTCTTAAACTATTAATTATGTTACTGATACTTCTAGCTCTATTTTATTTTGATTTTGGTAATTATTATTTTTTTTTTAACTGTCTGTTTGTTCTTTTTTTTTTCTTTATAGTACTATCATCTTTTTTTATTAATATGCTTTCTTTTTTGTAAAGAACTCTTGCATTGTTAGATAAGATATTGGTAGCTCTATCTTCATTCTTGTTTCTTTATTTGGATCTTTTTTTTCTTTTTTGTTATAAACTGTATCTTGTATATTAATTCTATGTTTTATTTCTGTTTGGTTAACTAAATATTTTTCTTCTACTGTTGTATCTTTTTTTTTAAAAGGTTTTTAAGGATATTTCTATATTTGTCTATCAAAATTCTTATAATATATACTTTTACTGTATCACTTGCATCTAAAAATTTTGTGATGTTTTTATTTATTTTTGCAATATGTTTTTTTTGTTTATTTAAACATGCAAGATTTTCTGCTGATATTTTTTAGTTTAAATTGTAAAACTCTTTAAGATCTGATATTGGACTTTTTTATTTAGTTGTTGTTTTATTTTTCTAAAATACTTTAGTTCTAAAATATTTTAAATTAATTACTAATTTAATATTTATATTTACTTTATTGTTGTACTCTGTTGATGCAGATATACTTTATACTTATTATATTATTTATACATATACTAGTTTGTTTATTTGTTTGTTTATTTAAGTTTATATATTTGTTTTCTAATTTTTCTAAAAATTTTCTAAAAATTATCAAAAATCCTTTTTTGTTTTTTGAAAAGTAGCTTCTTTAAGAAGTTGCTTCTCTAAAAAGTTGTTTTAGCAAACTATTGTTGATTTTTTATTTTTATTTTTTTTCTTAATACTGATGAGTCTGTTTTCTAATATAAAATTTTTCAAAACTAGTTGTATTGTTTTTGTGTCTTATAAATTTAAAGATCAGCAGAAATTTATTTATTAAATATATTATTTTTAATTTATATTATAACTAATTTTATTTATTTTATTTATTTTTTTTTTTTGTTGTTAAAGGCCATACTTGTGGTGATACTTTATTGACTTTATATTGGGTTAGCTATTACAACTATTTTTACAGAGATAAGAGTACAACTAGTCACACATGCAACTTTTGGTTGCCTATTTAAGTAGTCCACCCTAAGGTTCTACACTAGATGCCATACCTATAAACTACTAGGAGGTTATTCATTTAAACCCTCTGATCATCTGCCCTGTCATATTGGAATCCCCAACTAACCCCCTGTATATACCTAACTAGTATACTGTCTGAGCAGTATAGTACTTACCCTTTTTGTACTGATTCCAGGCCATTACACATTTCAGAGTACGTCATCTGCCAGTAAGGCACAGGAGGCCTCTTGTTGTTAACTATCTATCTATTTTTAGAACACTAACACAGGCTACTCTTGCAGAATTCACTCAGACCCTAGTACTAACTTTACAGCATATCCCTAGTACTTTCAGTATACTCTTGCTTTGAATCAAGACTTCCAATCCAGATAGCTCAGAAGAACTGTGACCTGTTCTTGGTATATTGAGTCTGATCTAATATCCTTTTTCTCTAGTCTGAAATCTGATGGCCTGGTTGGTGGTACCCCTCATCCGAGGTTCTTGCCTGCCTGAATCCTTCACATTGGTATCCATTTCCTAGGTCTAGTCTTTACAGTAGTACTGTTGAAGATCCATGTTACCTTTCTGCTCGGAATTTCCAAGTGGGCTCCGGCTTCTCAGTTCTACAGATTTACACAGCCTAAGGACTTATTTTAGGTTTGCACCACCCAGTACTGGTTTGCATTTCTCCGTGTAACAGGTTACACAGATGCTCCAGACCTGCCAGTCATGCTGATGTGACCATAGTTACAGGTATCCTATTCCAACTGATCGACAGAATGCCATCACCATAATATCATCTATGTATTACATAGATGATTATTCAAATTTTGCCATTAGTAGGTTTTGAACTTACAACCTACCACTTGGAAGTATAACAACTTATCCACTTCACTAAGTCATCACACCCTACTAATTTTATTTTAAAAAATATATATTAATTGTTTTGATGAATTTATATATTAATTTTTTTAAAAAAATAAACTAAATTATTTAATTTTTATAAAATTTTCTTAAAAAAAATAATGAATTAACAAAAATTATATAATATTCTTATTATAAATTTTATAATTATATAAAAATTTTTATAAATTTTTATAAATTCTAACTAAGACTTTTACTTTACTGTTTTTTAGAATATTTTGCTAATTTTTTTATTTTTTTTAATATTAAGATAAGTACTTGAAATTCAAAATTTTATTAATAATATATTTAACTAATGACTGATTTTATAACAACTACAAAAACAACTATAGAAAGAGTATATATACAACTAACCACTTATACAACTTTAGTTATTGTCTAATTTAAATAACTTGTTTAAAGATTCTACACTAGTTGCTATATCTAGAACCCATCTGTAAGATCTCTTTTTAAACACTTTAGTTCTTATATCTACTATCTATCTATTTTACTAACTGTTCCAATTAATACTAATACAAGTATATATATCATAATCACAAAATCTTTAAAGCAGTTTACTATATAAAGAACCTTTGACTTTATACTAAATTTACTAAAGTTTTCTATATTCCATACTTACAACTAATCCAGTATCATTATGACTGAGATTAATATTTACAGTTAGAGTTAACCATTAAACTATTATACTTTTGTAAAGTTCACCCAAACCCCAGTATCCATCTTTCTAACATCTTCATCATCATCCATAAGTACTATTTAAACGCTAATTAGCAAGATATTCAAGATATTGTATATGTAATCGAAAGCATACAATAAATTATAATGAAATTTATTTCATCAACACTTATATACAGTATAACTTGAACTTGGTATTCAAAAAGAGAAACCTATTCAAATACAATAATTACACTTAATTCTTCTATATACAGTAGTATAACCACACCAAAATCATTAATTAAAAACTAGTGTTCCGCAAACGGGTACCTGAATTGAAACCGCAGGGGATGTTAACATTCCGCTTGGGTAACGATATAATGTGACTTAATTATTATCCAATTGCTTGACGACGGAATGTTGAAAATCCCTTGCGGTTCCGTTTGCGGAACACTTAAAAACAGTTCGTTATGATTATTAGCTAATAAAGATGCAATTAAAAATGGGTATAAAGTATGGGAGAGATGGAACAAATTTATGATCATATGAGTTTGCCGAACAAGTAAATTTCTTTTGGCAAATGTTTTCTACATTCATAAAGCCTGAAATTTGATTGGCAACAGAAAATTTATTTAAATTGGTTTAGCCGTAGAAGGATATTAATTGCCGAAAATAAATACGGTATTTTCAAAAATGGCCTAAGCGTTTGCAATTAGAGGTTATCGTTATAAGATCTCTAAAGATGGTAATTACGTTAAACGTTTTGAAAAATCACACTAGGGCTAAGTTTTTTTTTTGTTTAAAAGGCAATAATGCAATGGTCGGATATATTCTACATTAATCATCTGATTTATCTCTTGATATAATCTGAAAATTTAAGGCCAAAAGCATGAGCTTGGAATTTTGATCCACTTTAATATTATATTTTTATAGAAAGAACTATTTATGTCTAATCCGCGAAAAAAAAAATAGCGGTTTTATCATAGTTAATTTATCACAAAAAAGGATTTGTGCATATTCATATGAATATCGGTTTTGGCTGTTTCTTATTGGTGTTTATACTCATTCCTATGAATTTAATTCTATTGCTTAAATTCTTGTAATGACCAGAATAACATGTCAATCATCTTTGATCTAACGCTAGTTTATTTTCATAAAGCAATTGCTTTTAATGGGGGGTGGGGTGTGTTAATATTAAAGCCGTGCATGATTCAAAAAATCACAAAACGGCCTTAACGTATCCTTATTAAAGGAAACTTTGTGGCTTAATGATATTTATGGCTATGAATGGCTGTGTAATCAAATTTTCGATTCGATTTCCGGGTTTCAAAAAAAAAAAAAAACTGCGATTTTTTTTCTACAATAAATAAATCAATGGAAATAAAATAAATAAATAATAAATAATTGGTAGAGAAAAAAATTGTAAAGGAAGTCACCATAACAGTTAGACTATTATATTCGATTCCTCTAAGCAATTTTTTTTTATATATATATCACAAAAAGCTAATTAAGAGCTTTTGAAGGAGGTTTACCTTTACCCTTCAAAGCAGTAACATTTTTAGAATTATAAGTTTTGTTATAAAATCCAATAAATAATAATAGATAACTACTCAAAAGTAAACAACCAAAAATGGCTGCTCCCTCGTCACCAGCACAAGAACCAAAGTTTGGCACCCAAGGCCAATATGTGGAAGTAAAGTAGGTATAAGAACAAAAATACACAAAGAAAAGATCAATTATAAATTGAATGATTTGTAATGTTGTAAGATATTTCTTCCACCAAATCCTTGCACCTCCAGCAGCACGAAAATAATAGTAATACATAAACACATGCACCGTCAAGTTTAAGGTGATCGGAACCCATGACTATCATTTAAGGAATATAAAGTTAGTTAAAATATTTTATGATAGAACGTTAGAAGAATCACATTATTGAAAATTACCACAGTGGTTCGACCACGTAATTGATAAAAACATAAAGCCACTGTCATGCTATGATGATAAACATGTAAGAATTCTAGAGTGAAAAGGAATAATTAATGAATTCAGAATAGCATACAAAAAGAAAAGAAAATTATACAAGTTTATTACTGTCATTACAATTATTATTACGAACCAAGATTTTTTTTCCTTAGTACCAAGAACATAGTATCTGCAAGTTCCCAATATTTGACAAGATAATTCAAATAATATAACAACTCTAATCGTTGAGTCCATCCATCGTTGCTACATATAGAATGATAAAGACCATTACGCCAATAGATTGGAAATAGTTGTTCAATGAACAGTATTAATAAAGTTCCTGATATTACGGTTAACAATAAGTTATGAATTTGAAAAATTGAATTGAGTTTTATGACTGGACTATTTGCTAAAAGTAGTTGACCACCGAATATCACGGCAAGATAAGTAATACAACTAATGATTACTTGAGTAAGTGTTGAAAGAGGCGTGACGCCTTCAACGAAAGCAAAATCATTTGGATCTTTTCCTGTAAGTAAGCTATAAGTTTTTACAAAATAATCATCAAAATAGATTCCAAATGGGCGGTCTATTGATACTATGCCGGCCATTGATTGATATTATGGAGAATAATAATAATAATAATTAATTAATAGAACGGATCGTGGTTCGTAAATATAACCTTTAAATTGTAATCAATTATTTGATCTAGTGTTCTGTCTATATTAAATTGAAGAAAAATTAATATTTCATCCGATAAAAAGAACAAGTTAGACAGGCTAGATCTTTTATATCAAAATTCACAAAAATTTTCAAATCCTGTTACACACATAGTTAAAAGGAAAAATATTTTTAAAAATGTTGGGGACTTGGGGCAATGATGCGACAGATATGGGTGTGGTTTCTGCATATCATAGTGATAATTTCGAAATGCATCATTAGACTAGGAAAAAACAAATGTCATCGATCATGTACCTCATGTACCTTGATTTTCCATAATTAATAAGTTCCGATTTACGTAATATCGATAGATACTCTCGAAAGTGAAGTAACATTTCTCAATTATCGGAAAGTTTTAATCAAGCTTAACTAAGCTTAACAAAGCTTAACTCTTGTGGGTAAGATATTCTTATTAGTCATCACATAATCGGGTAATTTCTCGGGTTAGTCATACTATATAGCATTGATATAAAAGTTGCGTATATATTCCACGTGACTGGACAAATTTCAGATTAGCGAATCACCATTAATGTTTAGAGTTCATCTACAACTGTAAATGCATATATGTTTGCATGCATTAAAGAACTAATCGAAATATTACAGTATTACGTTGGTATATAACATAAACTTAAATAAATAATATTAGAAGGTATACGTAATATCTTTATATGCTAATTACTAGAAAGACTAGACAGATGATGATAGAAATTGGGAAGACGCGTAATATGCACGGTATATAGATGTGGAACGCAGATCTTAATTATTTAGGATTTATTCAAAGTGAATTTTTGTTACGTACTAATTTCTAAATCAGTTAACTTAGTGTTATTGCGTACTTTAAAAAATTTATATTCTAAAGTCCAAATTTGGTTACTAAATTTCCTTATCTTGCGATTGTACCCAATCAACTTTGAATAATAAAAAAAAAATTTCTGGAAAAAAAAAAGAATTACAACGCAGGAAGTGACTCATTTCGCTCTTTTTCACAATACTTTGCGATTAAAAATGCTACATCCAAACTTTGCTCATAATTAAGTCTAGGATCACAATAGGTCTTATAATTTTGTTCAAGATCTACTTGTGATAGTTCCATTGATCCTCCGATACATTCTAAATAAAGTTAAACGAGATTAAATATTTATGATGCATACAATGGCGTACTAATGTACTAAAATAAAATGTATTTTTGTTAATAAGTCATTATAAATAAGTTGATCAAAGAAATTAAATTAATTTCTTAAAGCAGCTTTTTGTATGGTTTATTAATAAAAATACGAGCTTCCATATAGATAAAATTTTTAATTTTTACGACGCCACAAGTACTAACCAGTTACGCCTTCACCCGTAAGCTCAAAATGCACACCATTCAATTTGCTTGCATTATTTTTATGAGTGTGTATCACTTTTGAAAGTTCCTTAATAGTAAAATAAATATTATCAAATGCCATTTAACAAAATTATGTTTAATAAATTAATTAATAAATTTACCTCAATTATTGAATTAAAATATCGAGTTTTCACCCCTGAATTCGTTGTTTTTGTACTAACCATTATTATATTTGTAATGTCAAAGTTATTAAACAATTAAATTAAATCATGTCAATGAATTTGAATTATATCAAAAAGCACTTACTTTCCGTGCATTGGGTCACACATCCAAATAACAACGTGGCCTGATTCCTTAACAACCTTAATGTGACCTGGTAAGAATTTTTCCACCTATGATATAATTATAGTTATATCATTTGTGAATAATAATCGTTGGCAAAAGGATAACAAAATGAAAGACTACTAGCAATGTTACCCAAATTAATTGGGACGTCCCAAATTACGTGATGAATAGTATCGCGTGAGATATTTACCTCCATATTGTTATTGCTGAAATCGTGTGATATTATTCATCACATTTAAGACGTCCCAAATAGTTTGGGTAAGATCGCTATACGAATTGCGAGAGCGTGACTGTAGCCCATGTGTTTCACAACGGACAGTCTTTAGGGACAGCAAATTCAATGGACTCTAGCGTCACCGACTATATATACACTTCATTTTGTGTCGAATTATAATTACGGTTTATTTGAAATTTTTTTAAGTTGATGGCGCTAGGGTGGTTTGCAAATTCACATGATTAGTTAGAATTAGAGTTAGCATTAGGATTGGTGCCAATCACATAATTACTATTCATAAGTAATTTTCGTAGACTTCGCAGTCGCATGTAGGTAGTGATTTGAACTGAAAAAAATTACTTAATCGGTTAACCGAACCGAAATATTTTATGTCACCGATTGTCACCGGTTATGATTACTTCACACTTTACGTCCACGTCTTTTATGTTCATTTATTTTCTTTTTCGGAATCTATATCGATCCTTCCACCCGATTACCGATTCTCAACCGGTTGTACGGGTTAACCGATTAAGAGTTTACTCAACCGGTTCAAATCACTACATATGAGTGTGTGTGAGTGAAAACCTGTAAACCGATTTAATGATTTACTATGATCGGTTTCCAGGTTTTCACTCTCACGCACTCATATAGGAAATCAATAATGTCACACTCCACATTTACACCACACATTGCAGTGACAAAGGTCGTAATGACGGAATCGAATACAAATAATTACATTATCACATCCATAGCGCGTAATTAATGTCACTCTTCCAATCTCTTTATCAGGATTCACTATATTCAATAATTTTTTAAGTTCCTCAGGTTGCATGGTGGGACCCACTTTAACTCCAATAGGATTACGAATTCCACGAAAATACTCAATATGCGCTTCATCAAGTTGCCTAGTCCTATCACCCACCCATAAGAAATGTGCACCAACATTGTACCATTTTTGACTACCAGTTTCTGGATCCTTCAACAAACGTGTCATGCACTGTTCATATTCAAGTATTAATCCTTCATGTGACATGAACAAATCAATGCTATTTAATGTGTTAGTAAAAGGAGAGTCTGCTCCAATTGTCTTCATAAAATCCAATGTATCTGTAAGGCGATCAACTATTGTTTGGTATTCTTGACGCGTTCCTCTGGAACGAACGTGATGAAGTGACCATTCATCAGGATTATGTAGATCTATAAATTCAGAAATAATTCGTTTATTTAAGTAAATAAAACATATCTATATATATATATATATATTATAATCACCTGCAAATCCGGATCCAAGTATTGATCTAACGTAATTAAGCGTTGCTGCAGAATGAAAATAAGCTCTAAAAGCCCATTATAATTAATTTAAAATCATGTAACATGCATCTTATTAGAATTATTAAACAATTACTTTAAAAGACGATCAGGATCGGGTTGTCTATCAGTAGGTTCATAACCATTAATAATATCACCACGGAAAGAATGAATTTCTTTTCCTTCATACATTTCCATTTCATTTGATCGAGGTTTCGCATATTGACCACACATTCTAGCAATTCGAATTACAGGAATCCTAGAACCCCATATGAGTACTAAACTCATTTGAAGAAGTACTTTGAGTTTTGATTCGATTGGTTCCTATCATTTTAATATTTGTTTAAATATATAACATATATAAATTAACACTATTAAAAATGTACCTATGATGTTTTACATTATCTCAAAAGCTTATAAAAATAAAAATATCTAATAGGCATATAACACCATAGATGCGTCTTATAATAAATGCGAATAAATTTTTGTAGCCTAAACTTTTTTCATTGATTGGAAATAAGGTATTACCTGTGAACAATAATCAAAAAGTTCAGCGCAATCGCCCCCTTGCAATAGGAAAGCCTTGTTGAGTGCAACTTGTTCGAGTTGATGACGAAGTTTGTTAATCTTTAGGGATCACGAAACATCGATATATATTTTCGAAAGTAGCATTAACCATTAACTGAACCATTTCTTGAAACCATGACATATTAACTTTACCTCTGTTGGTGTTACCAAAGGAGGAACATGGTTTAGTTTTTCAACAACTTTCTGTAAACTTTCTTTATCCTCGTAAGTAACATTTTGGTTTATTTTTTTCGTTCGCCAGGTAGAAGGAGTCCAGGTACCATCAGAAGCATGGTGGTTAGAATTTTCTATGGTTACTTGTTCAACACTCATGTTAATTTAGCAAGTCTTAAAAATTTAAAAGGTGTTTTAATAAAATGAATGTGCAATTTATCAAATCTCGATTATCTAGTAACGTTAAATCTAAAATTTAAATGATACGTATAAAAAGAAATCGAAATTATGGAAAAAACTATTTTCAGATAAGATGTATGACAATCTATGACAAATCAAACAATAAACAATAAAACTAGCTCTCAGGCCCGGGAGATGCTCCGGGGCTAGGTCCTAAGTGGTTTACAGCTATTATCATAATTCCTGGGACACCTGTAAAAATTTGCCGAATGATTTTTCGGCCGATCCGGTTAAGTTATTGATTCGGCATGATCCGTATAATAAAAAAAGCTAATTTTGTATAATAATGATCATTTTACGATTGTCCAAACAATAATGTCAACGATTTTAAATTTTCGTTCGAATGCTGTTTGGTGTGCTTAGTTTGTACGAAAATTTATGGAAAAAACTGCTTATGTCAACCAATAAACCTTAATAAGAAATGTAAAAAAGGAACTGAATATAAATTAGACTTTTATAACAAATATATTACTCGAACAGGTGCCACTATTAAAAAAGTTAATTATGATCATGAATTTGTTGATTGGTTCAAAAATGAATCTCGAGTTAGGGTTCCAAGTGACCAAGATATTATTAATATTTGCCGAGAATGCATGAAGAATTATGATAAACGAAATCAAGGCAAAAAATTTATATGTTTATATTTATTTATATATTGAAAGATTCTTACTACTAATCATTACAATTAGTTCAAAATTGGGATCTAAAATTAAATGAAAGTATCGAAGTAGATTTAAGAATTAAAGATTGTCTATCTGAAGCAGATAGTTTAGAATTATCTGATTTACTTGAATCAGATATTGGTAGTACAAAAGAACCTGATTTAGAAATTAGTAGCAGTAGTACAGTCAGGGAATATACCAAAAATGAACATTAAAGATCGCATCTTTTAGGGTATAAGGATGTTGATCAGAAGATTCTAGATTTCATAGCACATGAACTTCAACCAATCAAATCAATCAAATCAATCAAAAACTCATATGAATAAATACTGAAATACATATTTTATTATTAGTAAAACTATTAACAAAGCTTTACTTATGTATTAAATATTTTAAATAGCAATTTTATTCTACTTAATATCGTTTTTACTAATTACATATTACAATATTCGATTTATACTATTTTTAACAATACCACCCATATATACAGTATTACCTAAAACACAACTTATTGTTACAAAGTAGATTTTAGTATAGTATATTATAAATAGCATTAGTAGTTATATATATTCTTTATTGTATTTT